GGGATTTTTGGGAATTCCCGGTAAACGCGGCCATGGAGCGGTTCCCGGCGGAATTCCCGCTTTGTTCCCGCCCAGAGCTGCATCATCAAACGCTACTGCGAGAAGAGGTTCGTGTCCAAATACCTGGCGACCATCGGGATCGACTACGGGGTCACCAAGTGAGAGATGGGAATGGGGAATGGGATGGGAACGGGGATGGGATGGGAATGGGAATGGGATGGGAATGGGGAATGGGAATGGGGAATGGAATGGAGAATGGGAATGGAGATGGGGACTGGGGAATGGGAACGGGGATGGGGCATGGGCATGTGATAGGGAATGGGGATGGGAGGCGATGGGGGATGGGAATGGGGACAGGGCTGGGGAATGGGATGGAGAATGGGAATGTGGGAATGGGGGAATGGAAATGGGAATGGGATGGGGATGGGAATGGGGAATTGGGATGGGAAGGGATGGGGACGGGAATGGGGATGGATAATGGGGAATGGGGAATTGGATGGGAACAGGAATGGGTAATGGGGTGGGAATGGAACGAGGTTGGGGAATGGGGATGGGGCTGGGAATGGGAATGGGGACGGAAATGGGGATGGAGTGGGGAATGCAGTGGGATTAATGGGATTGGGGAATGGGATGGGGACAGGAATGGGAATGGGGAATGGGGAATGGTGTGGGTATGGAACGGGAATGGAATGGGGATAGGGAATGGGATGGGAATGGGGAACGAGAATGGGGATGGGAAGGTAGATTGGGAATGGGGAATGGGACAGGAATGGGATGGAAAATGGGATTGGGGAATGCAATGGGATGGGGAATGGGATCGGGGATGGGGAATGGAATGGGGAACAGGAATAGGGAATGGGATGGGGGCTGGAATGGGAATGGGGACGGGGAATAGGGAACGGGATGGGGATGGATGGTGATGGAATGGGATGGGGAATGGGAACAGGAATGGGATGGGAATGGAGAACGGGATGGGAATGGGGAATGGAATGGATGGGGATTGATGAAAATGGGATTAATGGGATGGGAATGGGGATGGGAATGGATGAGGATTAATGGGAACGGGATTAATGGGACCGGGATGGGATCCATGGGATGAGTGGGAACAGCCTCAAGTTTTCCCAGTGGATTTGGGGTTGGATTTTGGGATCAATTCCAGCCCGGAAAGGGTTTTCCAGAGGGATTCAGGAATGTTAAATCCGTGTGGGTTTGGCTCTCGGCATCATGGATCAGGGCAGGGAACACTCGGTTTTTGGGTTTTTCTGACCCTGCCATCCCATAATTCCACAATTCCCGATGACTTTCATAGGGTGCAGATCCAGGATCAGTTTTTGGGGTTTTTAGTTTTTATTGGGATTTACCTGACCCAACCATCCCATAATTTCTTTCTCAGGGTGCAGATCTGGGATTGGTTTTTGGGGTTTTTGGGTTTTTCTGACCCCGCCATTCCATAATTCCTTTCTCAGGGTGCAGATCTGGGATTGGGTTTTGGGTTTTTTGGGTTTTTTTGGGTTTTTTTTGGGTTTTTCGTGGTCTTTCTGACCCTGCCATCCCATAATTCCTTTCTCATTGTGCAGATCCGGGATCGGGTTTTCGGGTTTTTTTGGTTTTTTTTGTTTTTTGGGGTTTTTTTGGGGTTTTCTTGGGGTTTTTT